GGTGGATTTGAATCCGGATTTTGAGTTGGATTTACATTTGGATTTGGATTCAGATTCAGATTTGCTCTGTCTTCTACCATATCTTCTATAAATGGGCCTGGTAAATCAAGTGTGGAAGAAGAATTAACATATTTTCTTGTGGCTTGTTTTTTAGTTTCCCTTTTTCTTCTACCTCGGTTCTTCCGAGCTGTTTTTTCAATTTCTGGATTAAATTCTAACTGCTCTGAAGATACATGTTCTCTTAAACGCATAAATCAAAAGAGTAACTCAAACAAAGATTAACACAAGACAATAATTAAGTAAAACTAAAACTGAAAAATAAAACAAAAACAAAAACAAAAATAAAAATAAAATACTCAATAAGCTAAACAAAGAATTCTCAAAAAACACCGTTCCCCGGCAACGGCGCCAAAAATACTTGTTGAATTATTGGCAAGCGTACCAAAATTATCAATTGCAGTATAGTATTTCGATTAAATAAAAGTTGATCTCACGAGGAACGGTTTCAATGAAAATTCCCAATTTTATGCTTACTAAGTAGATTAAAACAGAATGGATTTTGCATAAAGAGTTGAATTGAAATTAAATGATAAAGAACTGTAAATTGTTGAGAAAATATCAATTAAAGGCACTTAGGATTGACTTCTTTTCTTATCCCTCTTTTGTAATGACTATGTCAATTAACCTAACAATGTTGATGCCACCTACTCAAATCATCCATGTTGATTCCTCACACATGAAATTCATAAGAAAACCTAATAAATGTTGATTTCTCACACAATTAAGAGATTTTTCAGCATTTGGTTTAGTGTGTTAAGCAATTGATACATTCATTCAATTCCTGACAATTAACGTAACAAAATATTCTTACCATGATCTAGGGTTCAAGATATATTTTCCAATCATATCCCAAACATCAAGAATAATTCATTCCAAAGCACAAAGGATAAGAATAACAACATCAAAACATAGATTAATATCTCAAAATATCACCATGATACAAAATAGTTCAAAGAAAGTGCACCCAATCCCAAGAGAATGAAGTTAATCACTCATGTTGGCCATTACAATGCTCCAAATGTGAAAGAAGTGAAGAATTGATGAAGATTGGATGAAACCCTAGCAGTAGTCGCGCCTTTTCTCCTTCAAAATTGCTTGCTTTCTCAAAACACATCTTATATTTTTATAAGAGAATTTGGGTCGGGTCTCGCATCATTCATTCGCTTAAGCGTTCTTCTTTCTTTCAATTTTTCTTCAATTACTTCACAATTATAATCTTTGCTCTTGTATCAAGGTATTCTCGAATTCATCCTATATTGGGAGAAAAATATATTAGAATTAACATAAGTTAAGTGATTTCATAACAATTCAAAGTATAATTATATCAACTTTTTACCACTTAACATTCACTGCTACCTATATTTCTTTATTATTATTATTGAGATTTTACTTTTGCCTTAATTTTTTTTTTCCTTTTCTATTGACTCAAATTTCTTGGTAACAATTTTATCGAAAATAACATTGCATCTTGGGCATAAAACAACTTCTTCATCTCTTTCTTTCTTTCTTTTTATTCAGAAATTTGCCCAAAGTGTCTTCTAGTTTGGGATATATCTTGTTCTCCACTTCAAATTCATTTAACTATAACTCGAACTTCTTCTCTACGTCGTTCAACTTTACATGACAAGGATTTAGATCCTCAAACGTAATGTCCACCATATAAATTTCCAAAGAGTCAACATTTTCAACACCATCGGTAGTGTTAAGCCTAGTTTCAACGTATCCCACATGATTTTTAAAAGGATCAATGTCCACCTTTATTAACTTCTCCTCCAATTTCAGTGTATCTTATTTGATTGTATCCTATATAGTATTCCTAAAGTGTATACAGTTATTAATCCAATTACCATATATATTATGAAATTTACAATATTTATTTTTTTCCTCGTTGCTTTAAAGTACACAATTTATGATCATCACTCAACTTTATTTGCTTATCTTTTAGCAATATATTGAAAATCTTATCATTTTAGTTATATAAAAACTTCAAGTTTGATTCACCATTTTATCTTAAATTTCACTTTTTTTGTAACAGTTTGCAAATAAAGGTGGACCTACTTTAAGTCCAACAATATTAACTACTTTATTTTCACTTTATTCCTCAACTTTATCTACCTCTAAAATATCAAGTAACTTATTGTTAGATGTATCAATATAGTAGATCCACCTGAATCATCCCACCTATCCTCCTGAGGATCAGTTTGGTTTCAAACCCCGGTTCAAACAGGAGAAGTACACCATGCTAATGTGTCTTGGATGATCTACATCTCAAGGTTAGGCGCCGATGAGCACATTAAACTATCCATGTGGCTAAGAGCCCTCACAGTCTAAGCACAACGATGCAATTTTCAAGGGTGCGCTCTACCACTGAGCTAATAGCCCGTTGTACGGGCCTCCCGCCGAGGCCCACTATGCCAAAAGCAAGAGAAACTCCATCCCTCTCTTTTCTTTTTTTACCTTCATCCATGTCGTTCCCGTGTGGCGATATGTATGGAGGTAAAAAAAGGAGCTCATATCCACTTGTTCCGACATAGGATAATAAACTAATGAGTTTAGTCTTACTTCTTTTATTTATTTATTTATTTTTACAATTTTTCCAAATTTATGGTACCTCTCCTTTTCATATTTAATTTGTTCAATTCTTTATAACTTATCCACTAGCAGAGTCATATCCCTCAAGGGTAAATTAAACAATCTTTTTGTTATTGGAAATTGTAACCTTGTTACAACCATTCTTACTAATTCACTGTCAAGTATTTGAGTAAAATACCTATACTTCATTTGTTTAAATCTATTCAAATAATCATCAATATTTTTGTTATGATATCTTTACATTCATCAAAACAATCAAACTAACTTGTGTTCCTCCTCTAAAAATTTGTTCAAGAAAATTTCTCTCTAATTGGACCTAATTGTAAATTGAATTAGGAGGAAGTGTTGTGAACCACATAAAAAAATATTTTTTGTTAAAGAACTAGGAAAATACTTCATTATTAAATTTTTATTCGTTAAAATATTTCTACATTCGATATCACCTAAAAAGTTTGTAAATTTTAGTATTTTTTGTCCTCGAAGGAGTTGGACTTCAAGCATAAAATCATAAAAGGGTTAAATAAAAAATGGTTGACTGTACAATCTCATTTCCTCATCAATTTGAATATTTCACTGCCCTAAAATATGATTATATGCATTATTTTGATTATTCACATTATTTTGATTGTCTCTTCTTACATTATTCCATATTTGTTCAATTTGGTCCGCATTTTGACCTTTTCTAATCTTTTGAATATTCCTCAATTGATTTTAGTTTTCTTGAACATTTCAAAGGTTATTCTAACCTCGATTTTCATTTCGCTTACTCCCTAGTTATGGACCATTATTTTCTAAGTTCTCTCTTATAGGGATGACTAGTGCATCCCTTGTTCTAACCATCTGCCCTACCAACCTTTGAAAACAATCAATCAACTATAGTTTTTTTTTTTGTACTAAAGGATTTAAAATTGTAGTCATTTATTGAGAACAAATTTACCATTTCATAATTACTATCATCCATTTATTATCTTCTTACTTCTAACGAGTTATTCGATATTCCTGTACTTATATTCTCAACATCGAGCTGATTTCTATGAAACTCCCTATCATCCCCAAATCGAACTTGATTCTAACTACGATCATTCATTTTGCTAGCATTCAGAGTGGGTTGTCAATGAGGCATTCCCCAAGGATATCGTTATACAAGTACCCCTGACTATTTCACTGTACAAATTTACTTCCATTCATATTATGCCCTCCTAATATAATAGGTCTATTTGTTGTTGTATTAGGTTCAATATAAGTAGTTACTAAATTACTTACTAGTTACATTAATGATGTTCCTTGATTACTTTGACTATTTTCATAAGTTATATATCATTGTATTCTGACTTATCATAATAACTCTACCACTTCTCAATATCATATATTGCTCTCATTCAAATTCTCTAAAACTAATCAACAAATACGATTAATTCTTCAATATCTTAACTCTCATTTTTCAAACCCTCTCGATTTTTAAAATATCGATATTGATCTTTATCATCTCGATAACTAAATTTTACCCTTAACTTCAATATCAATTTTCAACTAATTTTTTTTATATATTTGTAAATTTATCCGTAACACAAACCTATTCATACGAAGAATTGTTGGCATTTTCTCCAATTATAAAATTTATTAATCAAAACTATTTATCGGATAATAAAACAACCTTTATACGCAATGACAACTACCCGTTACAAATCGATTACATAACATGACAATTTCAGATAGAAAATAAAAACTTTTTTTTTCAAACTACATGATAAAAATAATAATTTTAAATTAACTTAAATATGTTTATAATCCTTATAAAATAAATATTTTTTATATTGTTTTCTATAATTTCTTTGAGTTTTTAGTCCGTTCAAGATTAAAAAAAGAATATCATTTTTTATTCTTAACATTATATGACATTCGTATTTACATGTTGAATGAAAAGTCAAATCATGTTGTAAGATGTCGAGTAAAATCATGATATCTAGATGGTGTGGTGAGATATAATATTAATATAATATCTTCAAAAAACTTTTAAATTTAAAAGTAATAATTTAAAACATATTTAAAGTTTTCAACGTTTGAATAATTAAAAATAGATGTAAGTAGTTCAGATTATCTTTTAGATTTGGAGGAAAACATACTTAGATTCGTTATCCACATGCCAATTTACTTGTTTGAATAATCTTATATTTCTTAGCTGTCACAACTTTAGACCAATTATATATAATAAGTGTGTCGCATCGAACCCATATTCCGATCTTCTGGCCTTTCTTCCATTTTTGGCGGAACTAACTTGCATGTCAATCATGAGAAATGTGTTTTTTTTTTCCTTCATTTTTTTGCTGCTTTGTGTCTTCATCTTTGCTATGACAAGCACTATAATTGAAGTGTCTAGAACAAATGAAGCAAACCCTTTTTCTTACCGTATCAAAACCTTGGAAATCATATGGACTCATTTGGGTTATCAACATGTGTGGCCAGTAAGTTTCATGCATCCATTACTGATTGCTTGCTTGATTAGCAAGGGAAGCTCTTTGATTTACCAAGGAACTTGTTTCCAGAATTCTTTGTAATATAATGCTTTGATATGTCACTCTTAAAATAAGCATGTTCTATAGGTCTAAAATTTTGAGGTTTAGATATCTGTAGTTTCTGCTTATCACTTATCGAAATTCAGGGATTGAGAAAAACCAAATTTGATTACTCAATTATGAATAGGAAATGGAATTTGGGTGGAGAATTGTTGTCGGGACCCTGATTGGAATCTTGGGAGCAGCATTTGGAAGTGTCGGGGGAGTAGGGGGTGGTGGCATCTTTGTGCCAATGACAATCCTGATTCTTGGGTTTGATCCAAAATCAGCAGTTTCCATCTCAAAGTGTAAGCATTTCTCTATCTCTGTCAGAAATGATCTGTTCAGAAATGCAGCTGATATTGCTAATAATTATTAGATTTCTAAGAAGAAACTACTTGTTGATTGTTTTAGCCATTTACTGTGTTTATTATTCAGGTATGGTCACAGGTGCAGCCATCTCAGCTTTGTTCTTATGCTTGAAGCAAAAACACCCCACACTTGATCAACCTGTTATTGACTACGATTTGATGCCGCTTATCCAACCCACGCTAATGCTTGGAATCAGCATAGGAGTGATTTTAAGCGTAATATTTGCTGATTGGATGGTCACTGTTCTGCTAATTATTCTTTGTTTAGGTAATGATAGAAGATTTGTACTTCTTAAAATTTCACTCAGTAATATGATTAATTTGTTATGTTGGGTCTCGCAGTGACATCAATCAGGGCATTCTTCAACGGTTCTGAGACATGGAAAAAGGAAACCAAAATGAAAGAGGTAGATCCTACAAATTTTTCATAATCTACACAGGTTTTTCAGTTGGTCCTTGGACTTTCCAATCATGCTTGGTAAAATTAGGAACCTACTGGTTCACTCAATAACTACAAACCATTTATCCCTATCCCTAGTAACTAGGATTAAAAAGACTGTTATTTTGACAATTATATGCTTATTAGTTCCTTAAAAGATTTTGATTTGGTAACTATTTAAAGAAAAAATTGTTAAATGTCTTGTTACAAAATATGCTTTTAAATAGATTTTCAGGTGAAACCGGATGAAAGAAACCTAAGTCACATAGTGAGTAACATAGGCTTGACTTGAAGTCAAAGTCTGTCTAAAACCAAAACATTTTATCTGCAAACACCATTACGATTCTGATCATGCCTTTCTTTTCAATAATCTTTGAAGACTATCAAGCTTTCAGAGTCTACTGGTGAGTTCATGTATCGATTCTTTCTCAAATAAAAACTTCAACTGTCACAAGACACGATCAATTTAACCAAGTATATGCCATTTACCTTCTCTTTCAGCTACTTCCAGTGAGGAAGAGGGATACCAGTATCTTCCAGGTTGTGCAGAAGAAGGGGCTGCAAAGGATGATACTAGAAAAGCTGAGGTTGGTACACACTGGTACTTCTTGTTCTTTAAATGATCTAAACAAGTTATTATATAAAAATGTAACTATGCATGCAGGTGACCTTCATTGCCAACATTTATTGGAAGGAGTTTGTACTTCTTTTCTTTGTGTGGCTCGCATTCGTTGTCTTACAGATTGCCAAAGTAATTTTCTTTCTGGTAGAATTAGAAGAATTTACATTCCTTTCCTCCTTTATTCTGGTGTAATTATTTCAACTAATCGTTTAAGGGATTAACTTCTGACAGAATTATGCAGTTACCTGTTCAGTCACATACTGGATACTTCTTTTGTCACAGGTAAACCAGTTAGTGTCGCTTATTTTTCTGTTGTGCCAAATATTAGTGGATGTGCACAAGAGGCTAAGATCAATAATTGAGCCAACTAAATATTCAATATGACTTTGATCTCAAATTTGGTAAATTGGAAATTATGTTCAACCACTTTTGTGTTTTGTAGATACCAATTACTGTAGGATTTTTTTTGTATCAAGCAAGAGTCCTGTACCAGGGGAAATCTGCAAGTGGTCAACACAAACCTTGGCCACTGCACCATCTATTTCTAGCTAGCATTTGTTCTCTGCTGGCTGGAATTGTTGGTGGACTTCTTGGTACAGGTTCTGGATTTGTCATGGGTCCTTTATTTCTAGAAGTGGGAATTGTTCCACAGGTGAGTTCTAATAGAACATTCACTTTCACTTTCACCCGCATATTCTATCAATGAATAAATTGAAGGAAATATATGTAGTTATCTTCTTATTTTTCATGATTGTGCAGGTAGCAAGTGCCACAGCCACTTTTGGAATGATGTACTCAGCATCTTTATCTGTTGTACAATATTACCTCTTGAACCGTTTTCCAGTTCCTTATGGTGAAACTAAACTTCACATTTTACCCTTTAAATCTCTCTCAATGCTTTTCAAAGGCTACATGTTTTCCAGTAATTTATATCCATGTTTCTTACTGTTTTGCAGCGCTCTTCCTCACCCTTGTGGCTGCCATTGCAGCATTCCTTGGACAGCATCTCATTGACAATATTGTTAATATCTTCAGAAGGGCTTCTTTAATTATTTTTGTCTTGGCCTTCACAATATTTGTTAGTGCGATTGCATTGGGTGAGTGTTTATGGTGTTTCGTTCAGTTGATACTTGCGAAGTGTTTGCTTATGTCCTCTTCTGGAATATTTTCTAAATAAACATTTATAGTAGAATAACATTAGGTAAAATGATTTTTATATTTCAACCATTACAAAAAAGTTCTTCCCCATTTTCAAAAGTTTACTTAAGCTTGTGCATGAGTTTATTTAAAGTATCAAAGAGATTTATTTTAATTTTTATTTAAGTTGATCCAAATAAAGCTTTTTGTTCTACTTTCTTTGCTTGGCCTTGTGAAAATTTGCAGCTTTTTACGGATCTTTCACTTTCATCCCTGTGTGTAGGTGGAGTTGGAATATCAAACATGATCTTGAAGATTCAGAACAATGAATACATGGGATTTGAGAATTTTTGCGCCAATAATAACTAGAGTTTCCAAAGTAAATATTTAGATTTTTTTTTCAAAGTTCAAAAGATGGTTTATTGCTAATAGAATATTTAAATCTTGTCTACCATAGGAGATGTATCATTACCATTTTGCACGAATTACAAAATGGCAATTACATTTATACATAAGGTTTTTGCTTTATTCGTTTTAAGCAATTCTAATATTTAAAAGATTTGTCAAAAAACATAACTAATTTTTCCATGAAAAGAAGAGAGATTAAGTATTTTAGGATAAACCCTAAACCTTAATACTAGTTCTTATTACAATTGAAAACATTTTAAGATTCATACTTATTTGATAGATGATAACTATTAGAATAAGGTGGTAAAATATATAATCCATTAAAGTCAAATATTTATAATACCGAGTTTAAGAATATTGAAATTAATAATAAAATAAAAAATATGTGAACCAATAGAAGTCACATTAATAAAATAAAACAATGATTAATAGATATAAATTGAATCAATAAACTATGAATAGTAGAATATAATGTATTAATTTTAATTGAATTTCCAATGAAGAACGACCCAAATCTTATGATGAGATCAAGCAAATTTTTATTTGAAATACTAAACAATCTAACATCCATAAATTGTACTTAGCTCTCTTTCCCTTGAAGTGTAGAATAATTTTTTTCCTTACCATAGAACAAGTCATCGTAAAGTAAAATGATGTCTAAAGAGATGTAATAATTTTGAAAGTGGATGGTAAATTTGTTGTTCTTTTATTTAAAGAGATGTAATTACTTTCTTTTTATTTTAAAATATTTTTTTCATTATTTAATCTAACAACTATTATAGAGAAGAGACAAAACACAATATTCACATGTTTAAGTAAATACATTCATGTTATCACAGTGCAATCATGAATATATATTTAGAGTCATTCAATTAAGTTTTTTTTTTCATATATATATATATATATATATATATAATAAAAAGAAAATATTCATGATTATTTTTTTAATCTAATCATTTAATAACTCATTTTAAATATTAAATTAAAAAACATAATCCTTATTAATGTTAAATAAAAATAAAATAAACATTTTCTATTGTCAAACTTATTTGATAATTAAATCTCTTGATTAAAATATTTAATATTTTATTATTTTTATTTTAAATCTATTAATTATTATGTGAAAAGTCTAAAAAAATTATTAATTAAATTTTAGAAAAAATTTATTAGTTATATTAAGTATTGAAATCACTTTATAGTTAAACATTTTTATTTTAATATTTAAAATATTTATCACATTAATAATCGTGTTAACTCTCGTATTTATTAATAATTAAAAATTTTAATTTCAATATGTAATATTTTTATTTAAATTTATTGATTATCATGTTAAATTTTGAATTTATTTTATAATTTTGATTTTAATATTTATTATTTTGTCATATAATATAGCATGATAATTATATTTTCAAATAATTGAAAATAATATTATTTTATAAATATATATATATATATATATTTTTTTTATATCAAATTATTAATTGTTTTACAAGCATTAAAACAGACGTGTTTTTGTTTATAGTATGTAAAAGTTAAAATTAATTTTATTAATATATATTAAGGCCTTTTAAATAATATTTTTTATCTTTTCATTTGTACACCAATTGAGCCAATCTTAATTGGGGATTCATTTCCAATATATGTGTATATATAAGTGGTTAAGAAACGAAATTAAATTATCTCAAAAATTAAAAACCCTACGCTCCCTCGTTCGGTCTCTGAAACCGCTCTTCTTTATTCAGTTTGAACAATGGCTACCGCGTTGCTGGACGAAGAAACTGCAAAGAAAGTCGCGCGACAGGTTTGGAACAGTCATTGTTGTCTTTCCCTACTCGATTCCCTTTCGCGTCATTTATTCAACTCTCGTTTGCGTTTGTTGCCAAACAGGTGGAGTTCTACTTCAGTGATAGCAACCTTCCCAGAGACAATTTTTTGAAGAAAACCGTCGCTGAAAGCGAAGATGGCAGTATCCTTATTCTTAATTCTGCGTTTGTTCCCTCGAAAAATTGCTTCAAATTTATACAGTTTCGATGAAGTGTTTAAATGATTTTTTGCTTATAAAAAAACATAGCAACAGACCTATGAATTTTTGTTGAAGAATAATACCGAAATTACTTTAGGCTTTGCGATCAATTTTTGTCATTCTTTTTCTTTCTTTCAATTCTAATTTTCCAAACAGGGAGAATTGACATTTTGTCTGATTCTATTACCTTTCTGATTCCGCTAGAACCTATTTCATCAAACCAAACATTTAGCTATATATGTATATATATATATATATATATATAGTTTTATTATTTTGCATTTTGCAATATTGTTGGTCTTAACTGTTCCTGCAACCACACAGTGGTTAGTTTGGCTCTCATTTGTTCTTTTAATCGGATGCGAAATCACCTTAAACTGGGAGAAGTTAAGCCGGCTGAGGTGACGGAAGATACAGTCAAAGCTGTTGCTCAAGCTTTGAAAAATTCGGCTTTGGTCAGAGTTTCAGAAGATGGTTAGTTTCTTGTTTGATGCATCTGTGTATGATTTTATAAAAATGTGGTTTTATACAGGTAACACGAAGTTAATTATTTATTCATAATTAAGACTGTAAGTTTACTATGAATTCCTCTTAGCTTATTGGATGTCGAAGTTCTTTCTTTATTCCGGTTAGTTTAGATTAAGAGACAATGCTTTTTTCCCCTTGCCATGCTGTAGCAATATAAATAAGTTATTGAAATCAATTATTTTTCCCCTTGCCATGTTTCTTTCATTAACTTGATAAGCTTTATTCTTTTAAACCACTTACTTCCACAATGTTGTATTTGCTATTAAAATAAGTTTTATGGTAATTGCTTCTAATGATTATGGTGTTTAAGTTTTGAATTGTTTTGAAACTTTTTAGGGGTTATTAAGGCGAGTGGAGGAGGAAGCAGATTATCAAAATTTAATTTATTTTTAAACTTTGTTTTGTGTTTCTTGGGCCGAGAGTATGGATGAAAATGACATGTTTAACCAAATATTTGTCGGTGCCAGATCAGTTGATTGCATGGAAATGTTCTGATTTTTAGCTTCTGATGCGTGGTTCTATGTTGAACACATGCTACTTAGTTTTAGCACATTTTTCTCATTTGTTTATTTGTTTGTTTCAGGGAGCAAGGTTGGCAGGGCAACCGAACTTCAGAACCCAGAAGAGGTAATCGAGCAGTTAGAGATTAGGACCATTGCTGCATCGCCATTTCAATATGATGTGAAGCTTGAAGATGTGGAGACATTATTTGGTCAATATGCCAAGGTATTGTTTAGGTTGGTGCTATAATTTATATTATAACATTTCGGTTTGAGAGAATTGTGGTTCCTCTCCTTATTGGTGTTGGTTTTGATGTATGGTATGTGGCCACTTGAGTGAAAACTGTATAACAGTTCATTAAATATCTTGATGTGAAATTGCAGCACTATTGCTATGCTTTTTGTAAACAGATTGTCTTCATTTTTTGAAGATAACAAATATTAAAATTTATTGCACTGGTCAATCTTACATTCTTCAAATTTTATATAAGTAAAATGATAAAAATATGTGTAAGATAGTCCTGGAGGCACGAAGTACTTTTGACAATTTTCTTTATGTAAAAAAAAGGATAAATCTAGTTTTTATGTTTCAGGTTAACAGTATTCGGTTGCCTCGCCATGTTGGAGACAAAAGATTCTTTTGTGGCACTGCCCTTGTTGAGTTCTCATCAGATGAAGAAATGGAAAAGGTTTTGAAGCAAAGTCTTGTTTATGCGGGGGCTGAGTTAGAATTAACGCCAAAGTAAGAATGCTTATCTTCATTCAGTACTCAGTTACTGACCACTGATCGATTATAACTAAAAAGTGTTATCCTTTTTCCTGTATATTAGAATAATTTCTTATTGGATTGAAAGAAAGGAAGGATAGTCCAATATTTTATGTCAAATTTCTGTAAAAAAATTAAATTGCTAAAAGCTTTGCAATTATTTTTATATTTGTAATAGGAAAAAAGATGAGAAAAAATGTAAATTGATAGTAGTTGCTTTACAGCCAGTGTGCTATTGGTATCACTACATGAAACATTGGCGTTTAAGGCATTTAGGTTTCAATGTTTAGTTTTGTTCTAGCATATGAGAATTTTAGGTTGTGAAGACAGTCTACATATGCATGTTGTCTAATATTGTCTATGTTTATTGTTATCCCATTCAGGAAGGACTTCGATGTGCAGAGGGAGAAAGAATTAGAAGAGCATGAAAAATTTCGTCCACCTGTAGGTGCAGATCACCAGGATAACACAAATACAGCAGCAAAGTAAGATACTAACAATTCGTTTGCTCCCCACCCCTACCATAAAACAGATAAGTTCATTAGCTAATTATTGGTATTTATCATAGCTACCCCAAAGGCTTACTTATAGCGTTCAAGCTAAAGACTATTTCTGATGAAGTTCCTTCAGAACAAAATAACCCTGATCAACAAACCAGGGACGCTAATGTCGTCTCAAAAACTGATCATCAAAATCCATCTGAAATTTCTGCTGAGGAGAGTGATAAAAAGATATCAGAAAATGATGGCAATGATAAAGAAAACAATGGGGTGAGTGAAGGAAAAGAGACTGAAAAGAGGAAAGAAACTGATGGAAAAATTTCTGCCATTGCTGACAAGGACAACAAGTTTGTTGTCTCAAGAGAGGATTTGAAGGTTGTCTTTAATAAGTTTGGTACTGTGAAGGTATTTGGGTTTTCCCCCTTTCTTTGCCTTTTGATTTTGTCCATTTTGCAGCTATCTACTTGTTATAACCACCACCTTTATCCTTTGGAGTTCCTAGCACTTTTGAATGAAAATTTTTCCCTATATTTGTTTGAATTCCCAGTGGTTGGTTCAACAAATCTGTCTCACTTGCATCCTTTAACCTCTAAAAATTTGGTTATCAATTTATCGCCAAGCTAATTGAACCGATCAAGACTGATATAACTTGTATTCTGTTTGCCTGTTCAGTACATTGATTTCAAGATTGGAGAAGAGTCAGGATACATTCGATTTGAAGAACCTGAAGGTGCTCAGAAAGCTCGTGCAGCTGCAGTTCTTTCTGAAAAGGAGGGCTTGGTTGTAAAGAATTGTATTGCCACTCTGGATCCAGTCACTGGTTTGTTTCACATCAATTTAATTATTTTCAGGAGTTATTCATGCATTTGTTGTTTTCAAGTGTATTTGTTTGGTTAAAACGCATACTGCATATCGTAATCAACAAAATTACATTCTCTACCTAATTAGTTTTTCCTTCCATAATCACTACTAATAATTTGCTCATCACAAATGCCGGTGCAATTTTGCTGTTTCATTTGTTTTCTCTTCCATATAGAAATATGACTGATGGCTAAGGGTAGAAAATTTGAAGAACATTGTTACATAAATTGACTATGCTGACACAATCTATTTTTGTATGTTAATCTGAGAGCACTTCTTGTGGTATGATTTCAGGTGAGGCTGAGAGAGAATACTGGAGCCTGCTTCGTGGTAATCAAGAAAAACGCCGAGGATCTATGAATAACCGAGGAAGGTAAGTGAAGACACTGAACCTTGAGTTGAATATGACTTGAATAAGCCTTTATTGGTTCCTCTCTTAAATATATTTTTGTTTGGTGAAAATTTGATCTTTTTCTTATAGTTATAAAAAGAAATATTCATTATATGGTTCAGTTCCCAACAAGTGGCAAACTAACCATTTTGTTAAATGTTAGAATAATAAACATAAAATTTTTAGAGACGTGAAAACCATTACATATTTGGAGACCAAAAATGTATTTAAGTTTTTACCTTATATTTTTGGGCTTCTCGGCTTGGGGTGGAACAGAAACTAGAATATTAATTATTAAGAAATGTTGGTAATCATTCTCTAAAACTCTTTTTGACACACTCTCTTCTTTCGTTGCCTTGCAGGGGAGGAAGGCATGGCCGAGGGGGTAAATTCAACCGGAGCAGAGAGAATGAATCTGCAATAGATCGCCCAAATAAAGTCAGAAAGTTTTAACTATATTAATTGTTTACTTATTAACGGTTATAGATAACTTTAGATATCAGTTTTTTTTTTGTGTTGCTGGGAGGTATTTGGTAATGCATACCGTAAATTTTGATCTGTCTGTAGTTGCGTCAAGCGTCCATGATGTAGTTCTCTGCTACTTAAGGTTGTTTGTAACGCAAAGTTAGTGCTTTTTTGCAGTTTGCGGTATTATTATTTTAATGAATGCATACCTTTTTCTTTCTATCCTAACAGTTTTTTGGAACTTCGTATTTTTCCATGAATCTCTACAGCTGGTTGGTATTTTTAGTTTGAAATTTTATTGTATTTAAACAGCATACGATCAATCTTTATTGGGATAGTGAAAAAAAGGTGTCATTCACAATTAAAAGTAAAGTTTTATCAATTTTTGTTCTAGGACATTAACTTAAAATTTTAACCATATAAAATTTCATTACTCTTTTATTTAAGGAATGGTTTGATTTTATTTATGATTTTGTTTTAATTTTTCTAATTGAAGTATTCATGTCCATTATTTTCCTTTTTATTCTTTTCATTAATGGTTAACAATGTTCTCATTCTCACAAGTACTACATTTCAAGAGTTTATAGAGGATTATATATATATATGAAAATAAATAAAGTAAAACATCTAGTAGTCTAATTTCTATTTATGTGCTTAGCAAAATATAGTTATAGTTTATTATCTTCTCAAAATACAAGCAACATATAAAGTTCTTAACACATTCCTCTGCGACAGTAGAGGGTTTGTACTGGGGCAAAATGTGTTAGTGTAGTTTAGGCATGAAAACGGGATAGTTTTTGCCTCTATGATATCTGTTTTCGAATTTTTTAATGTCGTTGGAGTCAGAAATTCTTCAACCTCTTCCGGCAAGATTTTGTGTTTTTCATCTCAATCTATCTTTTTTTTTTTTTTTAAATAATTATATTTATAATGGATTAATTTTAGTAATTTTTATATATTATTTTTATATATAAATAAATATTTATAATTTATAATTATTATTAATTAAGTATATAATTTATTTATATTTATATTTATATATAATATTTTTTCTTTATAAGAATATAAAAATACTTATTATAATAATAATATTATTATTATTATTATTATATATTATAACTTTATATACAAATATTTGATTATATATATAAGATGATTATTTTTTAAATATTAATAAATACAAAATATATAATTTACAAAAAATATTTATTAAGTTAATTTTTGTTTAATTAATACAAAATAATAAAAATTTTAATTATTAATTTTTTCAATTCTTCATAATATAATTATTTTATATAAGATAAATTTTGATAAATGATAAATAAAAATAATATAATTTAGAAATTATGTCATAACAAAATTTAATAAAGATAATATATAAATAAAATGTTATTAGTTTTAGAATATTTCGATAAAAGATAAAAAAGATAAAAATTTAATTTTATATTTATGAAATTGGTTGAAGAGATTAAGAAAAAATAAATTAAGTGAAAAGATTAAAGAAACATGAACAGTAAGAGAAGAAAATAATATAATAAATTGATTGATTGAAAATATAAAAAAAGATAGATAAGAGAGAAATAAGAAAAATGAAATATATAATTTATATATATATATATATATATATATATATATAAGAAACATATCACCACTTTCAAATCCATTAACATACTTAATGTGGAGAATAATTGGTTATCATATTTTGGGACATGCTTAGTTAATACTCTTTTAAAACATCATTGATTGGGTTTTGATTTAGACATTTTCGGCTGGATTTTGATAAAACAAAATTGATCTAGTTATTTACTTGATCTCAATCTCAACTAATTCATAATTAATTTGAATATCATTGGTGCAACTTTTGCAAATAGTGACAAATTTTAATAATAATTTGGAGGAGTACGAAAATGTGAAAGAATAATCTTTATTATTTTTTATTTAATATATTTAATTATTTATTTTAATATTTATGAGAAAAAATTAAGTAGAGTTAAATTATATATATATATATATATATATATAATATTTTATTAAAGTTAATATGTAAAAAATTTAGAGGGAACGAAATTATAAAAATATAAATAATTTTTAAATATTTGGGAGGCTTGTGACTCCCTTTCTGGTTAAAGAAGATCCTTCACAGTTTACAAATACATCTTTAACGTGGTTTCAATCAAAAATTTCAACTCACTTCTATTTGGTCAATCTTTAACGTCCTTTCTTACCACATTTTTTACGGGCATTGATTGAAGCATCTTTAAGTCAATCTTTTTTTAAATAATATTGGTTGATACAATGTGTTAGTTCGATCTTAACTAAATCTTTCTAACAACTTGAGAAATATTCAAATTAACTTAACTTCGGTCAAAATATCACTACTTTATAGATGAAATAGATATCTGTTCATTGAAAATTTGTTATTGAATGAATTAGACAAATTTGTATTAAGTGGATCAAGATGAATTATTATAACATAACAATTTTATATTACTTTTTTTTAAGATCTTACCAACTATATAATTCCAATTTTTTTTATAGTTTTATAATTATAACTTTTCAAAAACTTTCCCAAACCTTCCGTGATTAAAATACTTTTATCATGATGCAATTAATCTCATTGACCATTTTATTCAATTATAATAGTGTATTAATTACTATATTGAAGTATATTCTGCTTTTTAAATTTTAGTCTATCATAATTTCTTTTTAATAATAATATGTTGAGATTTATTTAAAATAAAAAATAATTATAAAAATAAAAGTTATTTTTAAAGAATTTATTTTTACTTATTTAAATTATAATATCAAATTGAAATTTTTATACATCTTAAAAAACTAATCTGATCATTCTGCCCATCTAATGCGTTACATGAATACCACAAACGGGACTTATTCCCGCATTAAATAACAACTACAGAAAATAAATTCAAATGAAAATTATACTGAAAGATAAAAAAATCAACATGATTACAAATAACTAATATTTTCATCTTTTATATATATATATATATATATATATATATATATATATATATATCAAAATTAATTATGCATATTCTATATTTTGATTTATAATTTTAAATGAGTTATAATTTTTAGTCTAATTTTATTTTAAATGGATTAACAAATTAATTTTAATTTAACTTAAAATTAATAAAAAATATTAATATTTTTATATAAAAATATTTAATTATAAATTTATTATAAATTTTAAATTATTAGGGAAATTATTTTTTATTTTAAATATAATAATTTAATATATATAAATAATAAGAGAAGAGATTTATTTAATTTCAAAAGTTAAAAAAATATTTTTTATTATCACTACTTAATTTTTTTTAATATTGATCTAAAATAATAATTTATCTTAATCATTAAATTGTGAATAAGTGAATATTAGAAATTTATTTATATATTTATTCTTACCAAATTAATTTATAGTATATATATATATATATAATAAAATAATATTATTTTTATTTATAAATTATTATTATTCTATAAAACGAATTGATCCATAAGTTTACAAATAGTTTGATACAAATATGTAGATCTGACCTAAAGTAAAGACAAAATAAATCTTATTCAATTTAGATTATAAATTTTTTAGTCTGATCATACTTATTTTTTGAATGTTTTAGGTCAATCCATCTAAGTCTATTTTGACACTCGTATTCTATTCAAATAATTTTGGGTACGAATCATATTTGTTAATAATAGTAAATGAAGGCAAAAACATCGACCATATATCTATGTTTCAAGTTATAACCACAACATGTCAGTTTCTACAAATCTTATACAAGATGTTTGATAAACCTAGATATTCACCTGACATCCAAAGCATGTACTAATGACAACTCAAAATGTGGTAGTCAACCACCATTAAGCAACCACAAATAATATTACTGTCCATAAACTCCAACCAACATAACAAAATGATATACACTCTTAACTACCATAACCTATCACTTACATGCTTATACCACAACACAACCACTTGCCACCACATAGAAATAAATTCCATCATTGTCCTTGATATTTAACTTATTGAGAATACAAATGTGAGTTGAAATCCTATAATAAGTAAAAATGAAAAATTTGAATAACTTATAGGTGAGAAAACCTTATAAACTAAGACCTTAAGGTTTTTTATTTGATATGATGTTATATTCTTGTTGGATTTTTAGAGGGAAGATTCACAGAAGAGAAATACAATAATGAGATACGAGTCTAATCCATATAAGGGATTGACACCACTCTCAACCAAAAACTTTAAAACATTAGGTTATGGGTCATACTTTCTTATATGTTGCTCAACATTCTTATTCTTACTCAATTTGATACTTAACTCACACTTGAATTACCTAACAATCTCCCCCTTAAGTATGAGGCCCTTCATATTGGTACATTCCCCTCAAGCTCACTAGTGATCCTATCCATGTACCGTCATTTATCCTAATTGGACACGCTTACCTGACCCACTGTCAGGAAGACTTTCAATTCAAAGACCACTCTTACCGATTAACCTTCGACTTTGATACCACTTGTTAGGTTTTTTGAGGGAAATTCACAGGGGAGAAACACAACAATGAGATATGAGTTCAACCCACATAAGAGATTGACACCACCACTCTCAACTCAAATCCTTAAGGTTTTAGGCTGACAGTTGTATCAATACCTTATGTGGGTTGGACTCTTGTCTCATTGGTGTTGTTCTACCCAGTAAATCTCCTATCGAAAGATCCAATAAGTGGTATCAAAGTCGAAGGTTGATCAGCAATAAGTCAGAGTAATCTTTATATCGAAAATCTTCTTGATAGAGTGAGTTACATAAGCGTGTCTCATTAGGGTGAATGACGGTACATGAAAGGGCCACTAGTGAGCTCAAAGGGATGTACCAATGTGGATGAATTCACACTTGATTCTTGGTAATTTAAGTGTATTGGTAATCCAAGTGTGATTCTAAGTCTTACATTAAGTAAGAATGAGAAAGTTGAGCAACATATAAGGAAGTAAAACCCATAACCCAATGCCTTAATGTTTTTGGTTGAGAGTGATATCAATCCTTATGTGGGTTAGACTCATGTCTTAATGGTGTGTTTCTCCCCTGTGAATCCTTCCTCGAAAGATCCAACAAGTGATGTCAGAGCTAGGTTCGTGTGGTGATCTGCTCGGTTGAGTACGATTAAGAGTAGGTGAAAGATCCTATATTATGACTAGTGAGCTCAAGGGATACATAATATCGAGGAATTTATAAGTGTGATTCTATGTCCACATTATATAAAGATGAGAAAGTTGAGCAACGTACAAGGAAGTATGACCCATAATCTAATGTCTTAAGATTTTGGATTGAAAGTGGTGTCAATCCTTATATGGATTGTGTTCATGTCTCATTGATGTTATCTCTTTGAAATACCCAACAAGTGATATCAGAGTCGAAGGTTGATCGATAGTTTAAGAGCGATATATGTATCGAAAGTCTTTCCTGACAAAGTGAGTTAGGTAAGTGTGTCTCGGGAGTGAACGACGGTACATGAAAGGGTTACTAGTGAGCTCAAGAGGATGTACCAATGTGGAAGAATTTACATTTGAGGGAAAGATTGTTAGGTAATTCAAGTGTGAGTCTAAGTCTCATATTAAGTAAGAATGAGAAAGTTGAACAACATAAGGAAGAAAAACCCATAATCCAATGCCTTAAGGTTTTTGGTTGAGAGTGATGTCAATACCTTATGTAAGTTGAACTCTTGTCTCATTGGTGTTGTTCTCTCTAGTGAATCCCCTCGAAAGACCCAACAAGTGGTATTAGAGTCGAAGGTTGATCGATAGTTTAAGAGTGGATGTACCAATGTGAAAGAACTCACACTTGATGGGAGATTGTTAGGTAATCCAACTGTGATTTAATTCTCACTGAGTAAGAATAAGAAAGTTAAACAACATATAATGAAATATAACCTATAACCTAATGCTTTAAGGTTTTGGGTTGAGAGTGGTGACAATCCTTATGTGTGTTGAACTCATGTCTCATTTGTGTGTTTCTCCCTTGTGAATCCCTTTCAAAAGACCCAACAATTCTTTTAATGGTCAACTTATATCTCATTTGTGAGAATTTAACAATGTTAACCCCCTTAGAAATACACAACATTGTTCGTATCATAACTAATTTAGTAGAATATGATTGAAATAGGTGATAAATCCTGATTTATAGGTCCTTGTACCGAAAATGTTCTTAATCAGGGATGGCAAAACGGGTCAGCCCGCCCGTTTTGGCCCGCCCCGCCTTTGGCCCGCCAAAAACGGGGCGGGGCGGGCTGGCCCGATATAGTCATGACGGGTTGTAGACCTTGGCCCGCCCCACCAAAGGGCGGGTTAGGCGAGCGTGGCTGGCTCGCCATAATTTAGAAAAAATAATTTTTTTAAAATAATTTTTTTTTAATAAATTTAATAATAAGATTATTATTTATTTGTCAATAATTCAATATATATATATTATTTTAATTTAATAATATAAATCAATACATTATTTTAAGAAATTATAATTTAGAACAATAATAAAATTTACATAATAATAAATAATAACAAATATATATATATATATATAAATAACGTTAAACTTATAAAATTTATATTTTTTATATTAAAAAATTCAAATACCTATATCTTTTTTATTTGATAAAACTTCATATTATTCTTGGTTGAGTAATTCTTATACCTTTAATTCAAGTAATAAGGATAAATATAATCAGTGCTTAGGATAAATAAGGAGAACAGGAGAGAAGGTTATATTTCAGGAAGAGAATATTTTCCGTGAGAATGAAACTTTTTTATTTCTCTTTTTAAAATTTTTAACTTTATATATTATCTTTATAATTAATTTTATTACAATAAAAAATTATTTTTTTATTAATTAGACGGCCGCGGGTCGGCCCGCTCCATCCCGCGGGTTGGCCCGACGGTTGGCGAGCTTGGCAGGGCGGGCCAAAGCGGCTGGTGGGCTGAAAACACTAACCCGCCCGCCATATTATGGCGGGTCGGCGGGCCGACCCGCCGGGCCTAACCCGTTTTGTCATCCCTATTCTTAATAAGGGTTTCAAGTAAGAAAGTCTCGTTGAGTTCGAGTGTCAATACAATAAGGTTATTGTTGAGTTTGCTCGATGGAGAGGTGTACCAATATAGAAAAAATCACACTTGAGAAAGAGATTATTACGAATCTAAGAATGAGTTAGAATCTCACAAGTAAAAATGAGAAATTTAAATAACTCATGAGTAAAAATTCTAATAACTTAATATTTTAATTTTTTTATTAAAAATACTTCTATATTTTAATATATAATTAACTTTTTAGTCCATAAAAAATGTTCAACATCAAATGTTATAATGATGAAAATTTTGAATGAGAAGATAGTTAACCGTTTTGTTCTTTTTTTCTCAAAAATACTTTAATGTTAAAATATTAGAATATCTCTACATAAATTTTAGTTAGAAAATTTGTTTACAAATAAAAATATTATTTTAATATAAATGTTACATATTTAATTTAAAAAAATTCATCCAATAAAATGTTAAAGAAAGTTGATTATTAGAATTAATTGTAAGTAAAAATATTATTTTAATATCAACCTTAAATGTAAATAGTATAAATTTGTAAATTTAAATAACTCTCATTTACGTTAAAATATTTTTTTATTAATAAACAACTTTTGTAATAAACTGTTTTAAGATGTTTTTAGTTAAAATAACTAATAAAAAATAATTTTAATAACAAACTGTCATAAAAAATTTATTACTAGTTAAAATTTATTAAAAAAATTAATTTTGATGTGCCCCACTCTCATAGAATAGCTTTCACATTTAATTTTATAGTCTTCATTAATAAATTTAAATCAATAATAAACTCTGTTTCTAAGACTTCTGCTATGTAACTTAAATGTAAGAACATAAAGTTTTAAATAATTCTTCCATTAAACTTAAAAGAAAAAAGTTATTAAAATGATTAAAAATAAGAACTTGCAAGTGAATAGAAAATGTGCCCGTTAGAGATTTTAAAAAATAACGTCATTTCTCTGATACATTGCGACAAGTGTGACATTTATTCTTAGTGAAACCATAGTATAGTTCGAGACAACTCATAGGGTTTGAAACTTCTTGAGTCCGCCCCTTCATGTTTGAAACAGATAAAGTTGAACGAAAACACTCTCCAACGTTCCCATTCATTGCTCTCCCTCTTTCTCAATTTTTCAAACTTTCCTTCCATTTCCGATCGTTGCAATAGTTCAATTTGCAGATCCTTCTTCGCGAAACTCTGTTCTCCGATCTGCTAATGCGATCCGCTTCGATCTTCTCTACTTCGCTAAGGTGACTCTCCGCATCGCTCGATTCATTTCGTCTATTTTTCGATGACTTCGATTCAAATGTATAGTATTCGTTTTCTTTGTGTATGCTGCTTAATGGACTTTAGATCCTTGAAAAGAGAATTAGAGTATTACTAATTTTAACACTTGGAAGATTTTTGAACTTGTTAAAAAGGGAATTTAGAGAAACTTAGAAAAAATAACTGGGCGACCACGATTTAAAGGTGTGGATTTGTAAAAGCTTTTGTGTTTACTTTGCATGATTCATTTCCTCTGTTTTCCGATGACTTCGTTTTGAATTTATTTTTTTTGTTCTCTTTTTGGTGTTCATTTTTGAATGGATTTCGTCTCCATTTGTTCATTGTGTTTGATTGCTTTGCGATTGAAACTGGGGATCCGGGCATGGCAGGGGAAATAAAATGGGGCTTGAGGAAGTTACGTAGGATGGATTACATGTAGAGGGGATTGTGAAATTAGAAAAGAAAGAGCCAGAGAAGAATAAAAAAAGAAAAAAAAAATGGAGAGATGAGAAGGAGCACAGTGAAGAGTGGTGACTGGTGTTTGGTGCAGTTCCTGGAATTGGTTGAGATCGGGTTTGTTTTCCCCTTTTATTTTTTAAATTCGAAATTTAGAGGATTGACAAAAATTAGAATTTACTCAAACATGAAGTACGGTCCTTTTTGGATACTAGAATCGATTTATCTTTTTAATTTTTAATATAAATGTTCTTTTGTTGAAGGTAATGTTGTGATTTTTCTTTTCATTTAGTTCTGTGCAGGAAGAGTTTGTTCCTGTGGCTCCTTGGAACGGATTATAATGATTTGGAGAGCCAACATTGAAAAGAGTTGCAATCGAGTAAGAATATGGACGGTGAACGGAGCATACCTGCTCCATCTCATGGGCAAGTTGACGGCGTTCAGAAAGTTAAAGCATTACAGGGGTAATTTTTGAAAAATCTATCACATAATCCAACAATATATTTATAATACATCTGTTCTTTTGAGATTAAGCAAACACAAACTAGTAGTATTGTCTAGATGGGGTATTTTTGAGGAGGGGCAGGACATTTTTGTAATTTTGAATAAGTGTTTGCTTGATTTGAGATTATTGTTTTTAATTGAAAGATTATAATGTAGCATTTCAACTATTACTTATTTATTTTTGCAAATGTTTTAGGATTCTTCCAATTAGAAATAAGAAAAAATTATGTTTCCCTTGGCAATAAAGATTAGATTGAGATGTTATCAAAATTTATGCTCTTTTCGTGTCTTTATTTTAAAGGCAACATTGGCCAGTGATTATTGTTTTTCAACCTTTCAAGATTTATGTAAATGTTAATACTACATTATTCGCAGGGAAGGGTTGAAATAGTTTCAAAATTATAGTTTATCTTCATGCATTTATCTTACACTCTCCTTTCTATGGTAATGTTCAATTATAAACAGAGGAGGGTTGTTGTAGTTGGTTAATGCACTAGGCTTTTTCTTCTTTGAGACATAGATAAAGAAGTTAATTGAGCTTATGCTAACCATAAAATATCTATTTGTAGGAGGACTACTGGCCCTACAAGGCGTTCTACAAAAGGGCAATGGACGTTAGAGGAGGTAGTTTTTTCTTAAGTTTGGTGTTGAGTTTTTTTGCTTATGCTACAAAATATTTAACATAGTTTATCTCTGTATAAAAACTAATGTAACAAATAATAGAGTCATGTTAATTTTTCCCCGCAGGATGATATCTTACGGAAGGCTGTTGAGAAATTTAAAGGAAAGAATTGGAAAAAAATTGGTAATATATTGATATTATTCGTTGTCAATGTATGAAATTATTCATGATTTCCCGCCACTAGCATCCAGTGTGTGCTTGAGTCACTTTGCATCTCCATTGTTCATGTACCTGACATGAGCTTTCTTCAATTAGACATTTGTTCAATTGATTTAAATGAAACGAAAACCATGTATTGTTTTGGGGGAGGGATTCGCTTTATTTTCCATGGCAAGATTTTAATGTCAACTCTCCTCCTAAACCAATTTATAATTTTATGCTGGCCGTGTGTGTGTATAATTTATTTAGCTTGTCTCTTATGTGGGTTCATTCATTGTGCTCGGCAAACCATCTTAAGCAATTTTAGCGTTTTCCAACTGTTTTTTATAATGTTTTATTTTTGCTGTCTAATTGCAAATATGTGTTTGAAGCGGAATGTTTCAAGGATAGAACTGATGTGCAATGCCTCCATAGGTGGCAGAAAGTTTTAAATCCTGAACTTGTTAAAGGTCCATGGTCTAAAGAGGTAAGCTTTACTTTCCATTTCTATTTTGTGCTCATTTTATCATATTGAACTTATTCTTTCTCCCTTTCCTTCTTAACTGTACTCGGATAACATGGTATGGAGCCTATTTATCATATTGTCTACAGTTCAATTATAGTTGCCTCCGTTCTTTTTATGTGACCTTGGAATATCTAGTTAGATAGCTACTAGTAACATGATATCTACTAATAACATGCTTGTTTAATCCTAATGTAATCAGGAAGATGAAAAAATTATTGAATTGGTGAAAATAAATGGGGCTAAAAAGTGGTCATCTCTTGCACAACATTTACCTGGACGAATTGGTAAGCAGTGTCGTGAAAGGTATGGTTATTGGTTTGGATTTTCATGTATTCATTAAATTTCCATTTTTTACATATATATATATATATATATATATATTTTTTTTTTAAATTATTTTATCCTCATAACATTGTTATTAGGAAGTATTTCATTATACTGTTCTTGTAATCTAGAATATTTTACGTCAACCTTATCCTGATAGGCCTTGTTACTTGTTATAATATCCATAGTGCAAACCTAGATAATTGTACTAGAGTAACCTAAAAATCACAGATTTTCACTGTACCATACAATATACATGCTAGAAGAGTAGCTAAAATAGTGCACTATAGTTTCCCTTGTTGCATTGTGTCATGTCATGAGTTGGTCCTGTTGCTCTCTTCGCCAGTGTATTGCGCTTGGCTGTTTCAGTTGGCATGATTTGTATGGTTGTACTTGTACCTGCGATCCCATCCTGTTGGTGGGGCATTACAGCCAATACTGGGCAATTGGGTCTGAAGTCTCTTTTACCATTTATTTAGTGTTGCTTCATCAATGTTGTTAAATAATCGTAATACCACCATCTTAACACTAACATACATGATGATTTTTGGACCCTCCCTATTTGCTGTTTTCTGCCTATGTCTGTATTCACCATGATGGCTGCCATGCCACCTGTTGTGGATCCCATGGTAAGCTCCGGACCGTTTTCCTTTTTAAAAAAGGTAATTTCATACTTAAAATACATTGACTCGTAACAGGTTGTCCTTTGTGTATTTTTTTTTTTCGGTTTTATCTGTGTGTTCTTCAATGGTTCTTTATGTTTTAGATGTACTTCATATTTTTTTCTCTCTTCTTATTCTCAGTATGGCTATTTCTGTTCTTCGTCTGTGAAATGCTTTTGTGCTATTTTTTTCTTCAAAATTTCAGAATTTACTTCTGTTTTGTAGAATTTCATAATCATAATATTATTATTTTTTTTTATTATACCTATGATGCTGTTCTACAAAATGTCACACTTGGGTAACAGATACATAACTTCTTATTTGACCAAAATCCCTAATGGAAAGTTTCATTCAAGATGTTTTTATATTATTTAATTATTTAATATGCTTATTTTCACGTTTTGGTTAGTGCATGTAACACATCCTTATCACGTGGAAGACTTTACTTTTGCTCATTGGTGTTTTACTTGACAATTGTTGATTTGTGTGATAGCATTCTCTTTGTCCTGATTTAACTACATCTTTTACTTCAATCTAGTCTTATTTTAATAAGAAAATCATTTTACCATTAAAAAATTGAAATTCACTCTCAACTTAAATCATTCAAAAGCATCCAAACATATATAATTACAAAAAATATATAATTATTTTTTTAGTAGAGAAAATGAATATATAACACAATTGATATAATTATTTACGTAGATAAGATATTTGAAGTAAATTAATATTTTACAACTGTTTTCTAATTCGTTTTCGTAACTTTTTTTAAAAATAAATTAGAAAATATGGACACACAGGTGCCACTGAACCTACGTTTCCACTATATGTAAATAGATTAGCTGGGTTGGTGTCTATACATGCATCCATCCTCATTAAATTTTAGAGAAGATATCCATCCTTGGATCCATTCCCAGTAAGAGGTAAGGTATTTATACTTTGCCATCCGTAACTAATACTCATCCTTAAGTCATTTTTGTTTAATATAGTATTGGACGTACTAGGGATGTACAGAGATTATCGCTAGTTGCATACCTTTTGCAGATGATGTAGTTTTGATTGAAGTGTCAAGTTACATAATTAAGCTTGAGCTTTGGGGACAGGCTTTGGAAATAAAGGATACCTTAAATAGAAGTGACACAGAGTAGCATTGCAATTTAAGCATGAGGGAAGAGGCAAGAGGAATATTATTTGGAGTTGAAGATGGAAAGGGAACTAATAGTTAAATATTTGGGAACAACACAAAATGATTGGGAAATTAATAGTGTGTCACACATATAAGCGCAATGATTAAAATGGAGAGCGGCATCAGAGGCTATTTATGACTACCACGTAGTTATTTATGATATCACCACGTACCTACACAGATGAAAGGTATGTTTTATTGTAATATGTTATATGTCTGGCTAAACGCTGGTTAAAATGGAGAAAGGATTGGATGTTATTTATGATTTTCAAGTTCCTACTAAGCTCAAAAGAATGTTTTATGTACTGTTATATGTTTAGCTATAATCTATGGTAATGAATATTGGATTTTAAAGTGATAATTAGAGAAAAAGGTGAGAATGGTAGAGATTTGAATGTTAAGATGGATGTGTAGCCACACAAGAAAAGTTGGGAGATATTGATGTAGCATCAATAGAGGAAAAAATGCACAAATTTAGTTACGATGGTGTGGATGCATATAGAGGTCATAGAGAAAGGATTAGATGTTATTTATGATTGCCAAGTACCTACTAAGCTCAAAAGAATGTTTTATGTACTGTTATATGTTTAGCCATAATCTATGGTAATGAATATTAGATTTTAAAGTGATAAGTAGAGAAAAAGATGAGAGTGGTAGAGATTAGAAAGTTAAGATGGATGTGTAGCCACACAAGAAAAGATGGGTCACAATATGATTGTGTGTTGGGGGATATTGATGTAGCACCAATAGAAGAAAAGAAGCACAAAATTAGTTAAGATGGCGTGGACGCATATAGAGGTCATAGATAAGCACTGGTGAGGAAAGTAAATTCCATGTTTCTTTTTGGTGTTTGTTAGAGAGGGGAGATGGTTAAAATGTGGTTTGTTTGGTATGTTAGAAATAGGAACGAGAAGAGAATTAAAAATTCACGGAGTCCTACCATGTTCCACTATTTCTATACATGTCTCTCTCTATCTCTCTATTTTCAACCAAACATGTTTTATTTTCACTTTATTTGCTAACGTATTTTCCATTACCTGTTTTATTTCCATTCACTCTATTTCTCTCCTCTCTGTCAAACGGACAATTAGTCCATAAATAAGAGGGAGACCAAGAAGGACATAGAGATGTTGTTCAGATAGATCTTATGATCCTCTAAACATTTGGTCTTGAACCAAAGACAAATGACATCATGTGATTGATGTAGCTGAGTTTTCCTAGTGAGATAAGACTGCTGCTGTTATTATTAATACTCATTTTATCCATAGACATGGTATACATTTTTCAGTCTAGTACTAATATAAGGACGTTAGTGCTTTGGTCAACTAGAGCCATCTTTCGCTATTTTCTTTTGTCCCTGACTTAACCCTAAATTAATAGTTCTCTATGAGTGTCACATCTTCTTGATGTAATTCTTGACTTAACCCTGTCTAATGGGATGTGTTTTTGTTGTTATTGTTGATGCTCATTGCATTATTATAATTTGTAAAAACTTTTTAGGTGGGTTAATCATCTTGATCCTACTATAAAAAAGGAAGCATGGACACAGGAAGAGGAGTTGGCTCTAATACATTATCATCAGATATTTGGGAACAAATGGGCCGAGTTGTCAAAGTACATTCCTGGAAGGTAGATATACACATATTAAATTATTTTTCCATTAACTGTGAATCTGTGACTTGCTGTCAAACCCCCACCACATCGAGTCAAAGTTCTATGTTGTTGATGTTCCAAGGCACAAGGATTTGCACATGGATTTTTTTAAAAGACAATAAAATTTTAATTAAACTTTTCAGTTAGTTTTTATTGTTTTTTCTCTCTGCAGTAACTGTTGGAGATCCAAATTATAGGATGAGTGTGCCTTATTTCTTCATGTGCCATTTTATTTCAATTACAATCTTGTTTGTAAACAGGACAGACAATGCTATTAAAAATCACTGGAACAGTTCTGTCAAAAAGAAATTGGATTCTTATTTGGCATCTGGTGTGCTTAACCAGTTTGAGCCTGTACCTCATGTTGGAAATTCGAATCAATCATCAAGGTTGCAGTGTAGTCGAGATGATAATGACTCCAAGGGGATTGAAGGAGAGGAAGTTTCAGACTGCAGCCAAGGTTCAGCTAATGCTCGCTTTCCATCTGCTATGGGGATGGGCAGTGCTGACTTACAAACTGGAGAGGCTTATAGGCCAAATGAAGAATGTAGTCTTGGAAAGAATCATAGTCCAAGTCGAGCATCTTGTTCAGAGCCATATTACGTATCAATTGATGATGTTAGTATATGCATTCCTGAAATTGCTCACCAAGAGGCATGCACTTCTCAATTCATTGAGAAACAATCACATGAACCTGAAAATTCTCTTAGTGGGGATTGCCATTTCAATTTACATTCCTTGCCCAATATTTCATCGATGATCTTGGGGCAGGGTTCCTTGCAGCAAAGAGATTGTGTAGCTCCTAGTGAAATATGTGAGAAAGTGACTGTTCCATTTCAGACATCAGAGCGGTTGGGTGTTTCAACGTCCATGCGACCTGCATCTTTGGATTCTTATAAACCTGAGCACATGTTGATATCTGATCATGAATGTTGCACCGTTCTGTTTTCAGAGTCAATGAATGATGGGTGTTTTCCTTCTGTAGATTATATTAAAGGTGAAGATACAGCTGAATTTTCCGGATTCACTTCATTTCTTTGCCAATCTTGTAATATCCAGATGTCTGAAACTGCTGGAACCTCAACTCCTCAGCTAACTTGTCCTCGGTGTTCTAATAATTATGAAGGAACTTCATCCTCCTTGTCTGTCCCTCCAGTACTTTCTGCTTGTGATGATAGGATGGGTCCTAGTGCCAATGGCAATCAATTATATGGAACAGAGGGTCACCAGTTTGTCTCCAGAGCACCTGCTCACTTTGCTTATGTCAATGACATGTCCAGTTCTCCTTGTGTGGATGGTGTAGGTACTGCAGTAATGGAAGAACCGCTTGATATTCTGAATTGTACTTCAAAATTGGTCCCTGTAAATAGGGATAATCTAACAGAGGAAAAAACGGATGTGCATACAGAAAAGGAGGACTCAGGATCTCTTTGTTATGAACCCCCCCGTTTTCCTAGTTTGGATATTCCTTTCTTCAGCTGTGATCTTGTACAATCTGGAAGTGATATGCAGCAAGAGTTTAGTCCCTTGGGTATTCGCCAGTTTATGATGTCTTCTATGAATTGTCTTACTCCTTTCAGGTTGTGGGACTCACCCTCTCGTGATGATAGTCCAGATGCATTGTTAAAAAGTGCAGCTAAAACATTTACAGGTACACCATCCATATTAAAGAAAAGACACCGAGACTTGTTGTCACCACTCTCAGATAAAAGAATTGATAAGAAACTGGAGACTGACATGACTACCTTCACCAAAAACATTTCCAGTTTGGATGTCATGTTTGGTGATAATGAGACTCAAGAAGCAGATATGCCTTCATTGCAAAAACAGAACAGCAGGGCATGTGTTGATGATGAGAATAAAGAAAATTGTGGACAAGCTTATAAGCCAAATAAATCTGCAATTTTGGATGAGAATCCCCAAAAAGAGACTGTTGACAATTCTCAGCCTAATGTCAAGCAACAGCAGCTAAAGATTGATCCCTCAGCTGCTGTGATTGTAAGTATTAAGTACTGGTCTTCACCTTTTGTTGGTGTAATTAATTGTAATGGGAATACTTACACTTTTCTTTGACAAACTACTTTTCACTTTATTCTAATTATCAGGAACAACAACCTTCCGGAGTTTTGGTTGAGCATGATGTGAATGACCTGTCGCTATCTTCTCCTGATCAAGTTGGTTTAAAATCAGACAGAGCTCTGGATTCAAGTACTAAAACTCCCAAAAACTTGAACAGTTCTTTGGAAGCCATTCCAAATCAGAACAGTCATTTGAAATTATCTTCTAAAAATCCATGCTCAAGAATTAATTCTAATTCTCCTTGTGTACGTGCAAAGGAGCATGAAAAACTTTCAGTTGCTGTTACTCGTGCACAAACTGCAGGGGACAATTCAGGGGAACAAACCAGAAAGGATGGTGGTTTTGAAACATGTAGCATGTAAAATTCCTTACACTTTCCATTTTTCATTTTTCCTCATGGATGTAGGTGTTGCTTTCATATGAAAACCATTGGTACAACTGCTAATTGTTTAAGCCTGCTTCTCTGGAAATTATTCTGTCATTGCAACTGATTGTCATTGTTTGATGGTAGATTTGGTGGAACACCTTTTAGAAAAGGCCTTGAATCACCTTCTGCTTGGAAATCTCCTTGGTTCTTCAATACTTTTCTATCTAGCCCTAGATTTGATACTGAAATTACATTTGAGGTACTTTAGGGTTTCTTGGATAACTACTTGGTCTGTAGGTTCGAAGTTTTCACTGTCAGCTATAACCAGTTATAACGTGTTTACAGGATTTTGGGTATTTAATGAGCCCTGGTGATAGAAGCTATGATGCAATTGGGTTGTTGAAACAGATCAGTGAACAAACTGCTGCCACATATGCCAATGCTCAAGAGATTTTGGGAAATGAAACTCCAAAGGCATTAGGGAAAGATGCATCTGGAAACGACAAGGATACATTGGCTTCAAATGCATTGGTAAAGCTGGTTTTTTTAATGATTCCTTTTTTGCGTTATACTTATAGTTGGATGACAAATTGTTTGGTGCTGCTCTGGTCATTCAATGAGAGAGAGAATCCGTATCTGAGTATTCTAATGCATACTGAACATGATTCTAGATAAATCTTTGCTGTTGTTTCGTTTCAGGTGTTTTCATTTGTTATTTAAACTTTTTAGTTTTGAAAATGTCAGCTTTGTTTTCTATTTATTTCTTATTTTCAAAAGCTGTTTAGAAATAGAAAACTACTTTTTTATTGTTTCTATTTTCATTTTTTTTTTCGTTCTTCTCTGTACAATTTAAAATTAGATACATGTGACATTTTTTATTTAAAGTGACTTTAATTTTCTCCTGTGGATTCTTACAGTTGAATAAAAACAGAAAATATTTATTCAAACTAAATGACTTTTTGTTTTCTCCTGTGGTTCTTACAGTTATATGGTATTTTTTGTTTGCAGATAGAGCGACGCACACTTGACTTTAGTGAATGTGGAACACCAAGCAAGGGTGATGACAACAAATCCTCAGCTATAAGTTTCTCAAGCCCTTCTTCGTATCTGTTGAAAGGTTGTAGATGATTGTGAAATATGGCTAAAACCTCTTATTGCTCTATATGAGTTATAAATATATATGTATAGTATTTCATTTCTATGAATAGTTTTTTGTACGAAGCACCTAGTCATCCAAGCTATTGAAATAAATATTCCTTAATAAGCGGATTAAAAGATTTAGACTTCTGATCGAGTAAAGCTTTCAAAGTTTTGAAGGAAAATGACTCACAAATAGATTGATACTCCTTATTTAGTGTACTTGTAAGCAGTTTATTTAGTGGTCTTTCCAACCAGAAAGCCTTTTGAATTTTGAATAACATTAGTGTTCATGACTCTTGTTTACTATATGATTGAAACGATTCTCTCTCTTCTATAAAATTTTATTATTTTTTGTTAAATACAAATAATTATTTTTGGTGTTACATAAGGAGATGAGAAAAAAAAGAATAAAAGTGAAAAAAAAGTATTGACACAGATATCTCAATTAACGAAACATATTTTATTGTTTAGTTTTTTATTTATTTGACATTTTCATTCATTTCTTATATCATAATTTTTGTTTTTGTTATAATTTTTTAATAAATAATTTTTTAAGTTTTATTTTATTTTTTCATGAATTTTAAATGTCACTTTTTTATTATATCATATTTTTTTCTCATATATTTTATTATTTTTTAAATATATAAATAATAATTATAATAATAATAATAGTTTTTTTATTAAATTATTATATTATTTATATTTTTCTCTTAACTGATTAATTTTATAATTTTTTATAAAAAAATTTAATATTTTTATTAAATGATTAAAAAAAAGGAAATTTCGTCTATATAATTGTAAACAGAGGAATTTTATCTTAACTATTATCTATTTACAAACCATACATACTTTTTATCTAAGGAAATCTCGCACTACAGAATAATATTTTACTTCTTGTTTTTTACTTTTATTTTATTTCATTATAATTTTGTTTTTATGATGATAAAAATTAGACACTTTTTTTCGATATTTTAAAAATTCTTTTATACAAATTATATTCCATTCTCTTCCATAGTTGTTTTTATAATTTTGTTTTATTCCTCTTCCTTGTGTTGAACTTTTGTTTTGTTTGTAAGATTTGGTTTCTTGATTTTTTGTTTTGAAATTCTCATGTCAACGGTTTATTTTTCTTTTTAATTAGTTTTTCTTTTTCATCATCTCTTTATCTTATAAAGAGAGAGGACACAAATAAAAATTGAGGTTTTTTTTTCATTATTGTAATCGGTCAAAAGAATTTTGATTTTATAAAAGGTGATTGAATTTTTTTTAAATAAATTAAATCACAAATGAGACTATTTTAAAGATGAAATCATGTTTAGAATCAATGGTTTACTAAAATAAAATATGATTGATAGTAGGGGTTTTTTTAAAATAGGATTTATTTTATTTTTTAAAATATATTTATCTAAATATTTTTATTTTCTATTAAATTAATAATTCAATTGAAAATAATTATTTAATAAATAATATATTGTAAAAAAAAATCTTATTTAAAAAAATTATACTAGATAACATGAATTCAATATAACGACATATACATAATTCGTGTTACTAAATATATTTATAAGAAAAAAAAAACTAAAATCATGTTTTCAGGATTGCAAATAAAAGTGTGTTTTTAAATACGATTTTATGACTTCAAACTCATTTGGTTTAACAAATTTGGTTTGAAAAAATTTTAAATTTTTTATCTTTGATAAAATCAAAGTTTTTTTTAACCCCTTTGAAAAAAAAACCGAAACTTGATTCACTTCCACTTATATATATTTTTAAAAATAATTTTTTTATAATTTATTACAATATATATATATATATATATAAAGGTAAAGAAATAAGAGATATTTTTATATTTCGACTTTCATTCTTTACGAAGTAATAATATGATTTAGATAAAATATTATTTAAGATCATTTAGAAATAATAATAATATCTTGATAAAGTTTAAAAATAAATATGAGAGTTATTTTTCATATTCATTAAGATTAGAGGCGAAAGAAAAAAAAGGAGCTAATTTATTTTTGTAAGATAAAAAACCTTTATATACTTATATATATATATATATAACAATAATAATAATAATAATAATAAATAAATAAATAAATAAATTTGAAGGTAGTCATTACATTTCCATAGCATTACGTGATTTTGTAATCAATTTTAAAAAATTAATATTTGAAACCATTAAATTATAAACAAATAAATAATAAGATGAATTTTATTTTTTTTATACTTATTTTTAGAATATTACTCAAGTGAATCATTATTCCTCTCTACCAACAGATCCTAAGAAACATGCTCTTCAACTTGAGAATTTGTTGGAAGAATGGGGTATATACAGAGACTTAGTTGGAATAAAAAATTGCATTACTCAGGAATTTGTCTCTTTCAATCACATTGATTCCCACCAATAAACCGGCACCAACCTGGTTCCAAACAATATAGGGAAAAGAAGAAAGAAAAAAAAGCTAAACAATTTGAATAGAAGATGTTACTATAAAGATGGAGCACGGGCAATTCTCCTCCATACTCAGAAGTTGCGCGACCAAACATGGCTGCTCTCTCATTCCTTCCACAAACCTGCCACTCTCTTTCCTTTCCGCGACATGGCCCCCGCTTCCACCGCCACTTCCCCACCGCTCTCGCTGGTTCCCACCAACCTGGAGGCTCGGTTGGTACGTTTTCTCGTCAGAAAGCGTTGCTGCCATGGGCAATGCTTTTCTCCGATTCAATCCATGTCGTTCTTAAATTATAGCTATGCTAATCATTGTTGGTTAAGGAAACTAATGATGCGTTGACTTTTCAGATTCTAAAACTCAAGTGTATCGTGTTCCGCTTTTGACTTCCTCGGAGGTCTAATGTCTCTTTTGACTCTCACTTTTTCTTTGTGCTTTGGATTGGGAACTATTGTGACTGGAGAGTATTCTCTATTAGCAGAATTTTTCTTGTTTCTGAATATTCATGCTTCATGACTAATCTCTCTTCTAACTATCTTCAATAATAAAATGTCACTTCTAACTAAATTTGTTGAAGAATTTGACTAATTATTGGAAAAGATCCCAATCCCATATAGGTTAGAGAGTTTAAAAACATGCATAGTAGGGGTCATCCTTTGCGAGATTAACTAAGGCGTAAACCATTCTGTAAGATAATATTAAAGTCAAATCCTAGAGCCTGTAAGAGAGTCACCCACCACAATATCTACTTATAAAACTCAGTAGTTTTGGACGTGGAGGGTGTATTAGATAAAACTTAAAAGAATCTCATTGACTAGAGATAGTTCCAAATTGGAGGAGGCAATCCTCATTTTATGATCCTATTTTCTACAGTCGAGTTAGATTTAAACTTTTGTAACATTGATCACCTTTTGTTCAGTGTCTCTTTCCAATGTTTTTATAAAGCTCTGATTTGAGATTTTACTCAAAGGGACGTGTCCAGTTCCACTCCACAAAGGACGTAACATCATCTTACTACACTCTCTTTCTGACTTACTTTTTCTTATTGGATGAAATTCATGTGCATCTCACTAAATACGTGAGTCTCGTTATCTAATCATTATACTCAAAGTTCGAAATTTAGGTAATAGTATGTTAAAAAATACTGCTAGCACTATTTGTTCTCTTTATATGTGGTTTTCTTAAAAAGAAATGCTAGTAAAATTATCTTTGACATTGTGTATTCAACATCTCAAGTTTGGTGAAATTTACTTGGATTTCACTAAAGAAAATATGTGGTTCTCATTTTTCATTTGGTGAGTTTCATTTCTAAAATAGTGAAACTCACTTTAAGTTCAATTAATAAGAAAATGTGTGTTAGAAAAAGAGTGAGTTCGTTTTGATCAGGTCAGACTAGTCAAAGGTCTAAAAAATGTGTTTATTAAGTGAAGATAATTATTTTTGTAACCAGAGAGGGGGAATCAGAAAGGGAAAATAATTATTTTGAATGTGTTTTCAGTGTTACTAACTGTATCTTTTTTTTTTTCCCTTTTTTCTTTTGAATGCACAAGGCCAATGCAAGGCTAAAATCATTTAGAGAAAAGATAAAGGGCAAGCAACAATTCCTTGCCATGTATTCTAGTATTTTTGATGGGATAACAACAGATCCAGCATCTATGGTTATTCCTATGGATGACCACATGGTCCATAGGGGCCACGGTGTGTTTGATACTGCTGCAATAATGGACGGGTTAGTGATTTCCACCTCACAATGAGAACTATTCTTTTGTTTTCTACATTTTAAAGCAGTCAAATGATGTATTGTGTGCATTACAGATACCTATATGAGCTAGATCAACACCTTGATCGCTTTTTAAGCTCTGCATCCATGTCTAAAATCGATCCCCCTTTTGATCGTGGAAGCATAAGGAGAATACTCATACAAACTGTAAGCGCTTCCAAGTGTAGGAAAGGATCACTAAGATATTGGCTCTCAGCAGGACCTGGTGACTTTCAGTTATCTCCCACTGGTTGCCACCAATCAAGTCTGTATGCAATAGTAATACAGGATCTGTCACCATCATCGCTTGATATCAGGGGAGTTAAAGTCGTTACTTCATCTGTCCCCATTAAACACCCCAAGTTTGCTATTACTAAGAGTGTGAATTATCTTCCAAATGTACTCTCAAAGGTGGAAGCTGAAGAAGCTGGTGCTTTTGTAGGCATTTGGCTTGATTTTGAAGGTTTTGTTGCAGAAGGGCCTAATATGAATGTGGCCTTTGTCACTAAAGAGAAGGAACTAATAATGCCTCACTTTGACAAAATTCTAAGTGGCTGCACAGCTAGGAGAGTGTTAACCCTTGCCGAGAGTTTATTAAGGGAGGGTAAGCTTAAGGGGATAAGGATGAAAAATGTGACTGTTAAGGAAGGTAAGAAAGCAGATGAAATGATGCTTCTTGGGAGTGGAATTCTTGTTTGCCCTGTAGTGCAGTGGGATGAGCAGGTTATTGGTAATGGTAAGTGCTTTTACTTGCAGAAAAATGTTATACGATTTAATTATGTTTGGAGGAAACTCCTATGTTAGCATTTCTAGGAGAAAAAAAAGAAAAGAAAAATAAAACAAGTTTTTTCATAAGCTAAAATTAACTTATCGGATTTTGGAGAGGCTAATAGGAAATAATTTCAACAATTTTACTTTTGCATAAGTTAAATTTGGAATATGGAAAAACTGATTTCATTTTTTTTTTCCTTATTTGTCTGATTTCTCCATACAGACCTCTCATACTCAAGTAAATTACGTGTATAATTTTCTTTGGTTTTCTCTAAGGCTTGAGTTGACAAAATTGACAGGCACTTCTTACTGGAGTTCAGAATATTGTATTCTTTTTCTGTCTCGTTCTTTTCTTTAAAATTGTGAATGAGATGCATGTTCTTTCCCGTTAGTATCATTCATTTTACTTCTGAATTGTGAGTTGCTGATAGTCGTGGTAAATATAAGTTAGAATTAGAATTGGCTCCTGACCTGCTAGGTTAAGGGAATGCCCATCAAGCTCTTGCTTTGCCTCATTCGGGTCATGTTGACAAATTAATCATGCTAATGAATCTTTCTTGATGCCTTTTTTCTCTGATTCTCGAGTCTCTACACTAGATTTTGTCTCCAATGTTATACATTTGGCTCCTAGTCCTTTGTGGTTAAACTTGAAAAATGCTCAATTGGTATATTGTTTGGTCGAGGTCTTTGGACCTGCAATATGTTAATCATTAACAGATTCGATGTTGCTTGTTTTCATGAGCTGTTTCAAACTTGCATTATGTGTTTCTTGTATGTATATGGTACCCTTTGATTAGCATTGGCTCTCATGATTTACATCTTCCTCGGTCCATCAGACTTTTTATTTTTCTGAGTACATGTTATGAATTTTCTCATGAGCTGATTGATTTTGTCATGCATTCCTTGTAGGCAAAGAAGGCCCTGTAACACAGGCTCTTTTCAATCTAATTGTTGATGACATGAAATCAGGACCCTCTACTGTTCGTACACCTGTTCCATATTGACACAATTTATTTCCTTCTCCATAGTTTGTAATGAAGATTCATCATCCGTAGTTGTGATCTACTAGTAACTCCATTGCTTCATGGTTTGTAAAGCTTTTCAGTGTTGTAAGAATCAGTATTCCATGGAGCTTAGTTTTCAAATGTTCTTCTGTGGTGTGTGGTGTCATGAGCCGTTCTTTTTTGAGACTTGCTTGCTGCTAGTGCAAAATGTAAATAACAAAATTTGACTCATTCTTCTTTCCCCGACTCCTGAAGAGACAACTGCTTCTGATATCTATGAATTTGTTGTTGGAAATTTTTGAAGCACGTAAGTTTATCTACAATGTTACAGTTACACAGTTAGGCAAAAGCCGTTTGACAAATATGATATAAGTAATTTCAGTAAGTTGTAATTGCTGAGTCAGCAATAGTTAGTTAGGCAGTTATAACTGCTGGGGTAAATAGCTATTAATAATAATTAGTTGGTAATAAAGAAAGGAAGGAAAAAGCAGAGTCTCCCGTCAATTGTATCTTCCCTCTTATTTCTTCTCTGCAGTTCAATAATACATCGGAATCTTTCAATTCTTGGGTTCCCTTTTCATATTCCAATTCTTCGAAGAATTATCTTCCTAGTTCTAGAAAGAATCATAACAATTGGTATCAGGTTGTTCGATCCATTTCGAAGTTTTCCATGGCAGAAGCGACAAGAAATGCTCAGGCTCTGAAAGATATGGAGGAGCGTTTATCCGTTCGGTTCGATAATCGATTGGCTGAGCTTGCAGGGACAATGCAGCGATCTCTTGACGAATCTTTGAAGAAAACTATGGACGACCTCTTACTACAGCAGTCACAAGGCTCTCCAGGGGTAAACCGTCATGACGGTCGCAATGCTGGTTTGTATTCTTGTGGTACCCGTCTTGCTCCCATTGATTTTCCACGATTTTATGGTGAAAATGTGAATCAGTGGGTGTACCAGTGTAATAATTTCTTCTTGATCGACAACACACCGGACCCCATTCGTGTTCAATTAGCAATAGTTCATTTAGAGGGTCGTGCTCTTCAATGGCACACGGCTTTATCTAAAATTGTCAATTGTTCTTCTATGTGTTGGGCGGATTATGCATAATTGGTAATTGCAAGATTTGGAGATGTTTGTGATGACCCCATGGCTGAATTGATGAAACTGAGGCAGAAATCGTCAGTTGTTGAATATCATGAGGAATTTGACTCTATTATCACTCGTTTATCGTTGTCTGAAAATTACACATTAAGTTGTTTTTTAGGCGGGTTGAAACAAGATATTCAAATGTTGGTAAGAATGTTTAATCCCACTTCGGTTCAGAGAGCCTTCCAATTAGCTCGAATGTATGAAGCCGCCAACGCCCCTACCAGCTTGAGCATTGCTAAGAATGTTCCCGGATCTTTTAACCATGCTGTGGTAGCCAAGAATCAGAAAGGATTGTTGGGGGTCAAACCTATGGTTGTTCCTAAACCTATCTCTAATACAAGCTCTCAGAAGGAATCTGTGAATTCGAAGTTCAAGATTGGTAAAACCTTAACTCCAGCCTTTATGAGTGAAAGAAGAGCCAGTGGATTGTGTTTTTTCTGTGATGAACCATACTCCCATGAGCATAGCTTAACTCACAAGAAGTTGCAGGTGCATGTGCTAGAAGTGCTTGAGGACAAGGAAACTATTGAGGAGCCTAGTGTGGCTGATGAACTTTCGGTGGGGGATGATTTGCAAATTTCAGTCCATGCGTTATCGGGTATAACTAATTTCAAAACAATGCGTGTTACTGGTCATTATCAAAAGAATCCTGTTCATATTCTAATTGATAGTGGTAGTACTCATAACTTCTTAGATATTGGATTTGCTAAACGATATGGTTGCAAAATAGAGAATTTGGATCCTATTACTGCTACTGTAGCGGATGGGTACAAGCTTCCTATTTCCTCTATAGTCAGGAATTTTACATGGAGGTTGCAAAATACTATTTTTACTTCGGATATAATGCTTATTCCTTTGGGTGGTCATGATTTGGTGTTGGGCATTGAATGGTTGGTCACTTTGGGTGATATTGTGTGGAATTTTGATAAGTTGCAGATGGAATTCAAAACCAATGGCAAAAGACTTATTCTTAGAGGTTCTGCTCCAGGGGGAATAAAAACTATACGAAAACAACAGGTTGGGAGAGTTTTAGATGAGGGAGTCCATTTATCCATGATACATCTGTGTGAAGGGGGAGAAGGATTGTTGCAATCCCTCACTACTCATGCCAATCAACCTCAGCTATCTCCTAGGGTTGTTGATCTCTTGACTGAATTTGATGATGTATTTCAAGAACCTAAGTCTCTGCCTCCTTTCAGACCTGAACATGATCACAAGATTCCACTTGTGCAAGGCGCAAATCCTGTTAATAAGAGACCCTACAGATATGCTAAGCATCAGAAGGATGAAATAGATAAATTGGTACAAGAATATTTGAGTAAGGGTGTAATTCAGAACAGTTGTAGCCCCTATGCAAGTCCTGTGGTGTTGGTTGGGAAGAAGGATGGTTCATGGAGGCTGTGTGTGGATTATAGGGAGCTGAACAAAAACACTGTGAAGAATAAATTTCTCATTCCTTTGGTGGATGACCTTTTAGATGAACTCTATGGATCTACAATTTTTTCTAAAATAGATTTGAGGTCTGGGTATAATCAGGTGAGAATGGCTCCTGATGATGTTCCAAAAACTGCTTTTAGGACACATTCTGGTCACTTTGAATATGTGGTGATGCCCTTTGGTTTATCAAATGCACCAGCTACCTTTCAGGGCCTCATGAATTCTGTGTTTCAATCTTTTTTGAGGAGGTTTTTGTTAGTTTTCTTTGATGATATATTGATATATAGCAGTGATTTGGAGAGTCATGTGAGTCACTTAAGGCAAGTACTATTGACTCTTAGGAGCAATAGTTTATTTGCTAGGAGATCTAAATGTTTCTTCGCTGTTAAAAAGGTTGAATACCTTGGTCATTTTATTTCTGCTGAAGGGGTCTCTACTGATCCGGCCAAGGTGGAAGCTATAAAAAACTGGCCATTGCCTCAGAACCTCAAGCAATTAAGAGGTTTTTTAGGGTTGGCAGGTTATTACAGGAGGTTTGTGAAGAGGTTTGGAATGGTGGCTAAGCCCTTGACGGAAATGCTTAAGAAGGATGGGTTTGTATGGAGTGATCACGCGAAAGAGGCTTTTCAGCAAATCAAGAACCTTCTCTGTAGTGCACCAGTTCTGGCATTACCAGATTTTTCTAAAGAATTCATAGTAGAGGTTGATGCTTCATGTTATGGAATAGGAGCAGTCCTCATGCAGGAACACCATCCTATCGCTTATATTAGCAGAGCTTTGAATAATTAGCAACAAACATTATCTACTTATGAGAAAGAGTTATTGGCAGTAGTGTTTGCAGTCCAAAAGTGGAGACACTACCTTCTCAATAGGCATTTCACGGTAAAAACTGATCACTACAGCTTGAAGTATTTGCTGGATCAAAGGCTCACCACTGTGTTTCAACAGAAGTGGTTAGCAAAGCTCATGGAGTTTGACTTTTCCATAGAATACAGGCAGGGGCATGAGAATGTGGTGGCAGATGCATTGTCAAGGGTTGAGGAGTTAAAGTGCCATAGTTTGAGTACTTATGAATTACAATCTGATTTGGGTGATAAGATCAAGACTACTTGGTTAACTGATGTGAATTTGAAGAAGTTAATCAAGAAAATTCAAGATGGCTCGGCTGTACATAAACACTATACATGGCATAATAATGAACTAAGGAGGAAGGGAAGATTAGTGGTTGGAAATGATAGCAAGTTGAGAGAAGAATTACTGCAGTGGTTGCATTCTTCAGGGGCTAGTGGTCATTCGGACATTAATGCAACAATGCAAAGGATCAAAACTATGCTACATTGGAAGGGTTTAACTACTGATGTAAAAAATTTTGTACTGCAATGTCATGTATGTCAGCAAAATAAGTATTCTACGGCGGCAAGTCCAGGATTGTTGCAACCATTGTCAGTTCCTGATCAAGTTTGGCAGCAGGTGACTATGGATTTTATTGAGGGGTTACCTATGTCTTTTGGGAAGCAAGTCATTCTAGTAGTAGTGGACAGATTAAGTAAAGCAGCCCACTTCATGGCTCTTTCTCACCCTTATACAGCAAGGGATGTAGCACAGGTTTTCTTGGATCAAGTTTTTAAGCTGCATGGGTTTCCAGGCACAATCACCAGTGACTGGGACCCTGTCTTTATCAGTACATTCTGGCGGGATTTGATGGCTTTCCAGGGAGTTCAGGTTCAATTTTCATCTAGCTATCACCCTCAAACGGATGGCCAATCGGAAGTGGTAAATAGGTGTCTTGAAACATATTTGAGGTGTATGTGTTGTGACGCACCTCAGCAGTGGAGCAAATGGCTGCCCATGGCAGAGTGGTGGTATAATACCACCTATCACACTGCCACCAAGGTTACCCCATATGAGATTGTTTACAGCCAACCTCCTCCCATACATCTCCCTTATCTGCTTGGTCAGTCCAAGATTGAGCTAATAGATAGAAGTTTGTTTAAGAGAGAAGAGATGTTGAAGTTCCACCTCAGAAGAGCCCAGGAAAGAATGAAACAACAAGCCGATAAACACAGGACTGACCGGGAGTATCAGATTGGTGATATGGTATATGTTAAGCTTCATCCTTATCGACAAATCTCGGTGGCGCAGAGGAGCAATATGAAGCTGAGTCCTAAGTATTTTGGGCCCTATCGAATTATTGATAAAATTGGGGTTGTGGCTTACAAGCTTGAACTGCCAGATCAGTCCAAAGTTCATGATGTTTTCCACGTTTCACAACTTAAGATGCATGTGGGAAGGGTCCCAGTTTCAAGTGTGCTGCCATATCAGTCAGAAGATGCTTTGGTAGACAAGGAACCGGAAGCTATCCTAGATAGGATGACAGTTCGAAGGAAGGGAGTAGCATCGACCAAGGTTTTGGTTA